AGCATTCAGAACTTTCTCTGAAGTGCTGTGTATTTGTAATATTTCTCTAGAGTATACAACAATAGTGTCTCAGTTCCCTTTCCAAGAATGAACTTTTGTCTTGCTGCAGGCTGTACAGAAAAAAAAGGAGCTAAATAAGTGACCTGCAGTAAGCTTTGTTTTCCCAATGTTTTTCCCAATTTCCCCATTGTCTTTTCGTAAATTATGCGTACATATGCACGGGAATAGTACGAAATTTAAATGAAAGAACTCTCTAGAGTGTATCACATGACCTACATTAAACAAAACATACAAGCTAAATAGGTCTGTTATCACGGAGACAAAACAATAGTAGCGGAGCTCCATTTTTGTCAAATTTGAAAAAATCGTTCCACACGAGCGCGAAGCGCGCGCAAACGGAGCCCCATACTTAACAAAATTTGGTAATCTATCCATCCAATAAATTTTGGTAATCACGTGACCGTACGCCCTTACGCCCCTACGGACTTTGGGCGAGGGATTGGGGTAGTGGTGGGGCTGGGGCTGGGGCTGGGGCTGGAATGACCGGCAATTTTTAGGCGCGAAATGAAATTGGGCAACCCGCGTTTTTCTTGGCGCGAATGTTGGCAATGAATTGACTTCAAAAGTGAGACGATTTTTCTACAACGCTTAAGTTACCATTTTGAGAAAACTCAGTAGGGTAGGAAAGGAAGTTCGCAGACATTGACGTTGCGTTTCGTTTTGGAGCAACTGAATAACCATTTAGAGACAACCAAAGGAGTTGATCGAGTAAAAATCTAAATTGAAGTTTCTTGTGTTCGACTTACGACAAAACTTTCGGAAATAGATTTCTAAGGCTTTACTTTTGCTTTGTCACGCTTTTGTTCACACTCCAGGAACACCCTAGTATTCTCCCCTCCACCCACCTTGCATGGTCGAGATTTTGACAGGTGAATTCATGCGTGAAAACTTATGAAGCATTCCGACTAGACAACTGAAGCCTTCTTTACATTTCAGTCAAGTTTTAAAATTATCGTATTGTTTATTTGGTTTTTCGTCGAGGAAAGTGTCGTAAAGGGATTCACCGATGGCTGCGTTTATGACAGTTCATGCAGGCTCTTACGGCGGACTACAGGAAAAATCTTTCAGTAAACGTTTCAAATTTTTATTGTTTACTTTAATCATTCTTCCATTGCCGCCACAAAGTGAAATACAACAGCTATCAAGATTCTTCTGATTTTCGAAGCTGGTTTGTTCATTCGGTTTAAAGACGGCCTCGCCACGGGATTCAAGTCGAACGAGCAGGCTTTTACAGCAGAGTACAGGAAAAGATTCGGGCGTCACTGACTCGCTTTCACGAGCTGCATCGAAGTTGAGCCCCGGTTAATTAAAGTTTAGTCTCGTTTGAGTTTTGTAGAAAAGTAATCTTTAATTATAAAAAAGGTTTTAGTACGAAAATAAGCCACAATTAAAAAACGATAGTCGCATCTGATCAAATTCCCAATACACAGAGACTGAGTCTAACTATGCCACATTCACACGGAAAAGCTTCAACTTGTCTAATGGTAGACAGTTTAATTGACGTGACTTCAAATAAGTTAACTTGATTTTTATCACTTGGCACAACGGAGAGCATACGTAAGGTTAAAAGTTACTTGAACACTATCTTAAAGCAAGGCCTCTAGTTTTCTTTTACAGCGATTTTAATTTCTAAATAAAAATTGAGTGGAACCCAAAAGTTGTTTACAGACGGCTTACAAGTAAGCAAAGATATGGGTCTTTAGCCTGGGTTGTTGAAAATTTTGATTTTGTCAGTAGAAGACAATGTTTAGGTATCGGGTTTGGGAAAAAAAACTGACAACAGCTTCGAACCACAGCAACGATGACGGTGTTAAGCGCCTTCTTGATTTGAATAACCAGCCCAGAGTATCCTCAATAGATAGGCCAGTATTTCAATTATACACGTGTTGAATACAACGAGGGTTTCGGCCAACTGATGTGTCCACTCATAATACTGACTACTGAATATTGTCGATAAGCCACGTAGAACAAACTAAGTTGAAAAGAATTCATCTGAGTAATTCATACTGATTTACTTTTAAGCAAAATGCTCCGCATTAGTTTAAGCAACGACGTTTTTGAGCGACGCACGTCAACCGGCAGTGGACTTTATTACTACTCTTGGTCCGTGATTTTGAACAAATTCTTGGGCCAATCGTCTCTGTAAGCGTAAAGACATTTAACAATACAAATTTGGTAGCGTCAATGCATATTAAAAGAGAAGAAGGCTCAATTTCGGTGGACGTGCGTCGCTCAAAAACGTCGCTGCTTACTTATCTCACATACGACACCAGCCTGTCCTGATTTATGAAATGACGAACTTTGTAGATTTGACAAGTAGCGTGCCTTTTACTTGTACCTGCAATTGGCTAATACTTTGTTTTCTATTGGACAGCCCCCGGTTGTTCAAACGTTGGATAGCGCTATCCATCGGATAAATCACTAACCAGCGCATAAGTATTAGGAAAACCAATTGCACTATCCACTGGATAGATATTTATCCGGCCACTGGATAGCACTATCCAACGTTTGAACAACCGGGGCCAGATGTAGAGGTTGTCATTTGTCATCTTTCCAGTACTTTTTTTATTCAATGAACTGATGTTCAGATTCAAATGCAACCGCTTGTTTAAAAAATAAGTTGAATTTTCAGACGGTGGAAGAAACCCCATGGAGCCAAAAAGGGGGAATAGCATTTAAACCCGGCAAAGCAAAAGGAGAAAGGAAGAAAATCACCAAATTTTAACATAAAGTATTTTGTGTTTTGGGTAGCTTACAAATTGGTTTATTGTTTTCATCCCATCGTGGCATTTACCTGATTGCAGAGTTAAGCAAACAAGAAATTCGACAAATTGAACAAATTTAAGCTTGACTGTTTCAGACAATTAAAACCGTCGAGGATTTCATGTATGGGTTCCAAATTAAGAACTTAATTTAAAACCGCGACACAGTTTCAGATTTGTCTCGGGTTTTACTCCTGCAGTTTCAGGAATCATATAAACTGAAAATGGATGATTTATAACGTTTATACGGCTATGCACGCTACCGCGTGAGAGTGGAAACAAAATTGTTCAAGGTAAGCATGTTTCTGAAAAATGTTTACGGAATTGAAGGGCGCGAAGAATTTCAAGCCTGCCATCCGTTAAGATGTTGATTTAAACGTAAATGAAGTAATTCATGAAAACTGAAATCTTTTCCCAAGGTTGAAGGGAAATTCTTTTTAATTGTGAAACGCTGACCTCACAATGGTTTGTACCAAGAGGTCTACAACTACAAACTGAGGCATTTTCGACCCCTTCATTCATTGGAGACTAAGTACAAGATGTCAAAAAGAAACGAAAAGAAAAAGGAAGAAGAAAAGAGAGAAAAAAATGAGACAGCGCAGCTTGACCGGCCGGCTAAAACTTTTCGCACTTAGTAAACAACTTGTTCAGAGCTTTAAATGAAAGCTGGTATTTTCGGTTATGCCCGACAGGTGCCTGTTTAAGGTTGATGAGCCATTGTCTTTGTTTCCCATGGGTGGCTAGAGACCACACCCTGATTTAAGAAATATAATCAAAAACAACTCAAGCCTTACTTCACTCTATTTCCTATCAGTGTATCTCATTTAACTTTTGTGTTAACATGAAAAACCAGACAAAGTATTTTAGTAAAAATGAGATCTTAGATTTCCAAGCGTTTCGCGACTGTTTCGAGTGTATTTTGCCACTGTTTCAAAGTATCTAACCAACAATCAATTAAGGTTTAACGAGAAACTTAAGATAATTCACGGCTTTTTATACTAATTTTATTCAGTGCCTGAAATATGTTTGCTTAAAAAAAAAGAAAATAAAAGGTTTTTCCTTGGTTAGGGATGGCATTGTCTGGCATCAGGCAAAATAAGAAAACCTCAGAAATGTTCTCATTTTGCTGATTTATCCATCTTGTGTCAATAAGGATTAACATTCCGTTTCAAAATACAAGAAAATTTCCACACAAATCCAAAAAAATTTACCTCCCACCGAGCTAATAAAATTCTCATAATTGACGAGCCGACATGATTGGCGCGTAAAACTATCCTAAAGTGACCGTAAATAAACATGCCGCGGGCCTTTCCATTCAGTGGTTGCTCACGTGACCACTTTCATTCACCTAAAAAGTAGCCACCTGCCTCTACTATTTCGTTGAAGCCAAAAATGTGTCAAGAGCTTGTCGACCTTTATCAATAGAAATTTTGAATGAAACAGCTCCTTTCATGGCTTGAAGTCTTTTCGTGTAGTTAATCAGAAGTGAAAATTAAAATTTACATATTCCATTTTTTCCCGCATTTAGCGATTTCTGCTCGACCGGAATTAACCAATTCATAGAAAAACTCCCTAATGTCTTTTATACAAGTAATGTATGGTGGCTCATTATAACTGATAAATGCAAAATGAGTTTGAATTCGTTATGTGTCAAAAGAATAGCGCTCTAAAAAACAACAGCGCTATCTAGAAAATGTTCTTGCTTTAAGGACTAATATTTAAAGTAGCAAATAATACAGAGCCTACAAGTTAAACTGAGTCCTCAGCTGTCTTAATTGAAGGGTAATGTTTTCGACTTCTGGTAATCCATTTTTTGGCTAATTTTCCGCACAAAACGCAATGTTTTCACCCCCAAACCGCAATTCATACAATAATATTCACAATACAAAAAAATAGCTCATATAGTTGAATAAATCTTCTTTATTGCTATTCTCGTTGGCACAAGATATCAATCGATTGATTCATTCCTTGTCGTATAAATCGATGACTGTAAGGAGCGGAATAGCAATTTCTTCCCATGGTATCGGAGGACGTAGTAATATTTTTTTAAAAGCCTAGTATTTGGCTTTTCAATGATTTGGAACCATATTTAACGAAAATCATTTTTTATCCATATATTAAGAAAGTTTGTTTTTAGTTGTAAAACCAACCGTTACTTCGCGCATCGCTCTGCAGTAATTGTCTTGCTGCTGGTCGTGCCTAACTTGAACTTCTTATAATTGTAATTTTTTTTTCTCTGTGGAAGCAACGAGAACCAGTCAACCAGCAGATGGATCTCCAACATGGAATAAGATACATAGTACGTTTCAATAATAATAAAAAAACATTCGCCCCGTTTTAAACAACATATAGTTAATAATATTTCGTATTTGACTATTTTGCTAGTGATACTCTTCATGAATTGCCATCCTGTGCTTGTCATTTTGCACTGTCGCCCGTATTTCCCACGCAAATACACCAGTAGTATACGCCCGTGTCATGTCGAATCAGTATTTGCCTCAGTCATTCACGTTCAACTGGATTATCGGCCTGAAATAAACCTTATCAAAAATTGAAGGATCGCTTTTGGGAACCGGAACGGTGACATTTCTTGAGAGTTGCATCTTTTCGAAATTCAGCCTTGGCCGACGTCTCTTCTTGTTACTGGAGTACTCATGTTCGTCCAAATTGCGCTTGCGAGAAGAGAATCCTGGGTTTTGAATTTTGCCATGGACTAACTTTTGCGACGCGTTCGTAACTTGGTGTGATAAATTGTCAGAATTGGTTGGAGTATTTATCAAAAATCCACTTACTTCATCGTCAGAAGCCTCTGCCGAGTCTGTAACGCGGTCCGAAGATTCTCCATGCCTGTTTGATTGATTTGCATATTTATTAACTGATAAAGTTAGGTGCCCTGGCGATGTATAAAGACTGGTTGAATGAATGTCGACTCCTGCCTTGCACGCATATTCGATGTTTTCGTCGTTTTCTTTCGCTCGTTTCAATCCAAGCAAACGAGTCTGGTTTGCAGTCAAAGGTGTTGGCTCCCTTCTCTTCGTAACAAGGGCGCTGGGTAAGCTTCGGCTTCGTTTTGGATTACTATGCACTCTTCCGGCAAAGTCTAAATCGAAAGGTTCCGACCAGGAGTAGTAAAAACCTTGCTTTACATTGCGGTTTTCGTCAAGACCATGTCGGCTGAGTTGAAATGCCAGTGTATCAATACAGGGTAGACTTGTGGTGAGGGCCATATTTGAAAGGCCTCCTTAGCCTCTCTTAGCTGAGTTAGCTGTCACGCTTGGCACTGAGCGCAGAGTGCCAGCCCAGTGACTAGTCCGACCGATACTACACACTTGCCATCGGGCCACCTGAAAACATAAAAGTTCAACCATTAATGACGCCATGTGATTGGCTAAAACGAATCAATTGCACCCGTGGAGCCATTATCTTTGATAACAAAGCAGCAGGTCGACTTGGAAGCGATCATCATTCGAGAAATTCTACATGGGAAATAAGTTACTATTCAGATTTTTTCCCTTAAATCTTCAGGCTTTTAATACAACTTTCGGTTTCTAGGTAAGAATGCTATATATTGTGTCTGACATATCTTTTCTTTTTCCTTCGCGTGGTTTTTAAAGATTGCGTGTCATCTAAATATTAAGTGCCTGATAAAAACCTTACGCGACCGATCGAATAAATGTGTTCGAAAGAAACTAAAACAACGAGGGTTATCAAAGTAAATTAAAATTGTAGTGTGATAGTTTGAATATTGTATACAGTGATAACCACAAATGGTTTGGATTAGAAATACTCATGGAAAGGGCTGGGGAGTGGGGTAGATATAATACCAATGACAGAATAAACTAAAGTATGGAGTTTATTTATATATTTCCAAAAAAGTTCATTTATTGGAAGATGAATATGTAGATGGTGAGAAATACTACAGAGAAACGGTAAATAAGGGAGTGTATGCAGGGGCTGACCTAATTAAAGCAGGTATAATTCCATAGCTTTTCAACCCCAAAAGCTTGACTTCTGCAAAGAATTAAATCACAAGGGCTTTTCTCAGAGGTCACTCCAAAGAACGAAGTTTGCTTTTACATTTCCGTGAACACATTTAGAATTGCTTTCCTTTGGTAGACAGGATACCGGCGCTTTGTCTTGCATTTCGTAAACAATCACCCTAATATTTAGGGGCTTATTGTGAAACTGCGCAGTGAGAACTCATATCAAGATAGCAGTTATGCTAATTCTCGCCAGTGAACTTAACACGTGCATAGTGCACAACGTTGCATTTAAATAAGAGTAAGTAACCAAAGGTGTTGTCCGTCAGATTCTAATCGTTACATCCTCAACTAGAATTTTTAAAAGTTCTTTGAAGGTACGTCTAGTTTTTACAGTTTTCGTTCAGATAAGAAACTTTAAAGTTAATGATTAAAGGAGTCTTGATAAGCAGGCGCACATGTTTCCATATGGCATCTCGAGCAGTATTCCTTGTTTGTCTTTTTTAGTTGTAAGACGAGAAGTGTAGTGATATGCTGTTCTTTTGAGTGCTCTTAGAAGTAATCAAAGTGTAACATGTATGTAAATAGCTACATTTCTGACGGTTTCGCCATTAACCACACGCTGCATTTCTGTCAGCTGTTGTTTTTGTACTGAATATTTACATCAACCGTGCCCGATATGGAAACATTACAAACCCGCTAGCTAATAATAATTATAATGACTGTTCTCTTAACTATGAGTAATGCTACATAGTGAGTACAGCTTTCCCACGAACGCATAAACCGCTAAAATGTTCCCAGATAACTTGCGCTCTGGCCCGAAATGACAAATAAATTAATAATAAAATAATGTTCGTTTAAAAGACTAGCTTTGAAACTGCCATTTTTCCGCTTTAATGCATGACTTTTCAAACGTTACCGTCATATGTGTTTCAATTGTCTCATGCTCATTGATTTTAAGATAAAACGCACGTGGTGGAAAGACAAAAACATAAGATTACCTGGTTTTTGAGTTGCATTTTTTAAAACGAGTTTATTTGGACATAATGACGTTAGTTAGAAAACCGAAAGAAGTTTGAAGTCAATAGTATTCCAAGTGGTGGTGCACGGGGAAGTCTTCTGTTGACGGTGGTTTATAGGGACAGCTTGGAGGTCACCTGTTCCAGTATAATAGAAACTTATATTGATAATTGAGCTTATTATTCACCAAAAACTGTGGGAGGCTTAAATAATCGAGAAGCAAAGATGAATTACGTTCGTTGCTTCTTGCAGCTAAATACTTCTTTAGCGCAGTCTTAACTTGTTTCTTTATCCGCTGTAATAAAACTGGATTTGAAAAAATGTCAAACAAACAGCGTACCATCTTGCACTGGGGGTCTTCATTTAAGTGCGCTTATTTTAAACATTTAGCACACGGCGTTTTTAAAGAAGTACAGTGGAGCCTAGTTATAACGAACCACTATATAACGAAGTCCTCAGTGTAACGAACAATTTTCTTTACGCTAGCAAAAGCAAAATATATGGACAAGAACCCCGATATAACGAAACCTCGCTATAGCGAACAAATTTTGCCAGAACCCTTGACCCTTCGTTATATCGAGGTTCCACGGTAAATTAGCGGCTTTGGAAGTGCCCCTTTTTCAGATTCAAAACCCAGTGAAGAGATCAACCAAAAATGGGAGTCGTGTAATCAATAAAAAGATCTTCAAAAATAAAGATAATCCGTAAAATCAATAAAGTCCATTTTGCATTTTAAATCCTTTGTAGAATAAAGATTAGTACCTCGCCATTGTCAAGGTGTTATCTATAATGGCAGTAACATTTTATGGGAGGATAAATTAAAGTTTACCTCGAAGATAATAATTTCCAGACTGGGTAAACGAGATATTTTTACGCGTTTGCGTGCCTTCGGCGAGTGATGTTTTTGAAAACAAACTGCGAACGTAAGTCCTCAACGTCGCTCTGAAACGTTAATTCCGTTTTAACATACAGCATGCAATAATTCTTTTTGGAAACCACAACACTTACTCTACACTTGTTATTAAGGAATCACGAGCTATTTGTTTTGAGATGCAAAATAGATCGAATTAATTTCACCGAGCCATTCTTAGAACAATTTTTTTTGGCTTAGTGAAAAGAGGCAGCTGCTATTTCGTACCGCTAGAAATCTCAGGTATAGTCTTGAGTTCAACTGACGACTTCAAGGATAGAAATTTATGGTGTGTTCTGTGACGAGTCATTGGGTCACTGATTCACACAACCGCAAAGTCGCGGGCAAGTAAAAATAAATAAAAAGTAATTGCAATTTCTTATCGACTACGGTAAGCGACTAAAAGATTACATATTAAACAAAAGAGGCTTTTGGCTATATAATATCAATTTGTTCGTAGATTTAACCAAACTGATTGCTCAAATTGCAAGGAGGTAACGTGCTCTCAATTACAGGCTGCTCATTGGCAAATGACTTTCTGTCCCTTTTTTTAATTTTTAAAAGTCAGACATGAATAATATTCTACGTCAAGAAAAAATTCTTATAGGAATTGCTAACTCATGAATCTCTATTCAAACCTAGCCACAGCGCCTTACTTTCCATTTCCCCTCGAAGCTTATGAATCCTTACTCATAAAACGGCTCAGTCAATTTCACATCACTAATTTTAGAATTGAAAATCAGCCCATGGCGTAAGATGGATCATAAATATCCGTTGATGTAACACTTACCGTCTTACGCCGAATAAGCGTTCGCCGCGACAGACCAACGACTCGACTCGGCGATGATCAAAGCGTAAAGGCTTCCAACAACTCTTTCATGACTGAACTTTTACTCGAATTTCATGTTGTACTTTGCAGCATTATTTAGAGGTTCATTATGCCTGGCTTGTGTGTGAATGAAACTGACTGGTCGCTTTTCCGGACACACATAATTGTCACCAAGACGACGTCAAAAAATGCGTTTTTAAATGTAAATTTGACAGCACGATATTGCGCAGCACGTGCGTTCGGGTCAAAGTTGTGCATGGAGTAAATGGTTGCACTTTGCCACTCTTAACGTCAGACGAGATTGTTAAGTGAATATTCCCCTGTGGGGTTCTGCTTGTTTAATTTTGTAAACATATAGCGCTTCTATTGACTTCACAAAATACGAAACCTGGTGTGCCAGGTGGGTACATTCGACATCTTTGCAGCCTAGCTGTTAAAAAGGAAGCTTCTTTCATGAAATAACGGGTGTATAAGGTCTACATGGAAATGCCCGATTTTCCATTGCCGCTTGTCATAGCTGTTCATCATTAACAAATAAAATAAAATAGTCCTTAGTAATGGTGGAGCAGATGTTAAGTAACGTGGCACTAGCAAATCCAATATTTGAATGCGGAAATGAATGAAGATAGAAATGGTCTGACACAATCATCTTCCACGGAAGGGAAAACTTCGATTTCCAGACACCAATTCGTGAAATGAACAAAAGAGTTTATTCAAACCAGCTTTAGACGTATAGATGAATAGACACTATACTTGATAATTCTCAAAGAATTTAACGACAAAAGTACAATAAAAGAATTATGTTAATTGAGATACGATCACGGTAGTGATTTCTTTTGTCCTCTTTGCATGGATTTTTGACGAAATATTGCAAGGGTTTTCATGAGCAGACCGACGTTTAAGGAAGACGACGAACAATTAGTCATCTACATGACTGGGGCGGGAATGCTAAGAATATTCTACTCCAGTTATTGATTCTGCAAGGTTCAAACGTGATTAAGTTGCAGGTATTTCCAAATTTATGTGGCAAATGTTGTCTGAAACCTGAAGAGAAGAAAAATCGTTCACGGATACTTGAAGATGGCCATGGCAAGAGGATAGTGACCTGACTCTCAAGAGAAAAGCGTGCTTGTTTGACAGTGTGGCAGAAAAAAAAACAAAAACACAAAAACAAATAAAGAAACAAAATAATAAACAAAAGAAAAACTCACAAACATACAAAATAGAAAAGTAAGCCGCCCCGCTGCATTTCCTTAAATTCTCGCTCTTCTCCTCCGCCTTATTTTAGCCAACTGGATTACCCGTAGCACGTAATCAGTGAGTATGTCCATATATAGGCCGGCATTTGAAGCTCGTCGTAATTCCTTGTGGTTTATGTTTTGTCGGATGAACAGGCTCCGATATATTGTGGTGAGTGGTTTCGCGATCGTGAAGGAATGTAGCTGGTGGAGATATTCTTTTCATTTATTGTCATGTGCTTTTTTTTCAATAATTTCTGGTCAAAAATAGTTTTTATCATGAGTTAATTTGTGGTTTCCTTCATGTTTTCAAAGAATTTTAACGATTTTTCAGTCAATATTTTGCCCTCGGCGAAGAAAAATTTCGA